GAGACCTCTGCTCCTTTTTTCTTTTGGACTTGTTTGTGATTACTTGGTCAAAAATAGGATATGGATTTCCCTTAGAAAGCAGCATTGGAGGAGGTCAGTTCATGTTGACTCTGCATCATCAAATGATCCAGGATGTTGTTCCTAACAGTGTCTAGAAATGCATCTCTGCAAAAGGCAGCCACTGCCTGAGACAGTGGACAAGATGGCATTCCTTACAGTAGCTACCAGTGCAGAGCTTTGCTTCAATCATGGCAATAGGACAGAATCTTTCAGTGTATCGGGGGGGGGGGGGGCACGGGGGACACCAATATTTAGAAGGTCCAGAATTGGAAGTGTGGTGCTAGAGGAGAGCTTGATTGATACCATGAACTGCCAATAAATGGGTCCTAGAGTAAACCAAGCCTGAATTTCCATAGAAACCAAAATGACTAAACTGAGGTTGTTGCTCTTCTAGACATAGCACAAGATAACATAGAATCATAAAATCCCAGAGTTGGAAGAGACCTTGTGGGTCATCTAGTCCAACCCCCTGCCAAGAAGCAGGAATATCCCATTCAAAGCACCCTCAAGAGATGGTCATCCAGCCTCTGTTTCAAAGCATCCAAAGAAGGAGCCTCCACTACACTCCAGGGCAGAGAGATCCATTGCTGAACAGTTCTCCTTACAGTGAGGAAGTTCTTCCTAATGTTCAGGTGGAATCATTTCCTTTCCTGTAGTTTGAAACCATTGTTCCATTGCATCCTGGTCTCCAGGGCAGCAGAAAAGAAGCTTGCTCCCTCATCCCTATGACTTCCCCTCACATCTTTATCCATGGCCCTTATCATCTCAGCCTTCTCTTCTGCAGGCTAAAAATGCCAGCTCTTTAAGTCGCTCCTCATAGGGCTTGTTCTCCAGACCCTTGATCATTTTAGTTGCCTTTCTCTGGACACATTCCAGTTTGTCAACATCTCCCTTAAATTGCGGTGCCCAGAATTGGACACGGTGTGATTCCAGGTAAAGTGGTCTGACCAAGGCAGAATAGTATAGAGGGGTAGCCTGGTGTCTGTGAATCTGCTGCATCGCATTGTTGGCTCATGTTCACCTTCCTGTCCATGAGGACTTCAAGATCTTTGTCGCATGTACTGCTGTCAAGGCAGGCGCCCCCCATTCTGTATCTTTGCATTTCATTTTTTTCTGCCTAAGTGGAGTATTTTGCATTTGTCCCTGTTGAACTTATCATTGAATATATCATTGAAGTAAGCTGCCCTGAGTCCCTTCGGGGAGATGGAGGTGGGGTACAAAAATAAAGTTATTATAAGTTATTATCATTATTGAATATATAGTGTTGTCCGTGCCATCATACTTCCCATTTTTATGTATGATTATGACACCTGATCAGTGAAGAAGGCTGAATGGAAGGAAATTAATTCATGACATATGGAAGAGAGGATAGCATGGAGTGTCCAAAAGGCAAGTAAGTAGGTTCTTGAGCAAATTAATTCTGAACCCTAAAAGCCAAGATGACTAAACAGAGGCTAGCATACTTTGGATATATCATGAGAAGACATGATTCTGAGAAAAGATGATACTGTTTGGTAAGGTAGGGGACAGTAGGATAGGGAGGGAAGACCATGTCACAGGTGGACAGAGTCACAGAAGAAAGACAAATATGTCCCGAGTTTGCAAGATCAGAACAGGACTGTTGGGGGAAAGGGTGACTTGGAAGTCTCTCATTCATTGAGTGGCTGTAAGCTGAAATTGACTTGATAGCAGTTAACAACAACAATGCTCTTTTCGTAATCAATCCATTTTATTGATTTTTCCATTGTATTTCTGTAACAGGGCATCAGAGAGCATTGCAAATAATGTAGGAAAAAAATATGCAACCAATACAATGCAACACTCATATAATACAACAGTTGTGGGGCTATGTCGCATCAGGTTAAGTTTTTGTGAGCCTTCCCAAGGTCTCAGTAGGAGGAACTTCAATGCTTAGGCTCTACCTCTGATGAATTTGACAGCAGTTAAGAACCATTAAAACAAAAGGGGAAGACAGTGGGAAGAGAGGAAGAAAGACTGTACTGCGATTGGATTGATCCAGTCATGATGGAAGCCACGATCCTGAGTTTGCAGGGCCTGTTCACACTGTTGAAAACTGGATGTCTTGAAGGTCTCTCAATGACAGGGTTAGCATAAGTCAGAGCTGACTTGATGACGGTTAAGAACAACAAATATTGGCTGTATTCTCCAAACATGGGGAGCAGCCAAGGGGCTTAGGAAAGAGAGCAAGGGAACATCTGTTGCGTTCTCAAGCCTCTTCCAGCATCTGCCATATGCAACAGTACACTCATGCTCCTAAGTGCTCCTTGAGCCCCATGGAACAAAGCATTTGTGCTCAGGGCACAGCTTGAAAAGGTTATAAAAGTATCCATTCTGGTTATTGTTGAAGTCTGGGAATTATTGTCTCCAAAAGCTACTTTTGGAGAGAGAACAACACTGCTTTCTGCCTGTCCTCATGTCAGAGTTTGCAGTAACTGTTCAGTGTGTATGTATAGTGTGCGTATGTGTATAGGATTTCTTTCCCTTTACCACTAAGTAATCATAAGCAGTTTCCACATGGGGCTGGGATTGAGTCTGGAGCTCTCCTCCTGGGCAGGAGGCTTCTAGAACCGGTCTGAGAAAGAAGGTGCCTCTCGCAATGTCCTCCCTTCAGGACGACAGACTTCTGGCACGTTGCCGAACCAAGTCCCCCACTACGGCTCTTGCATTGTTTGTGGAAACACAGCCCAGGGTCTGACAGCTTGAGGGCTCCTTGCCATCTCTGCTTTGCAGCAGAAATACATGCGTGTGTGTGTAACATTTCTGTTGAACACTTTTCCTCCTGCTGAGCACACCAGACAGTCTGGATTTGGCCCGAGTGTCTGCTGCTTGGGAAACGGCTTGCAAAAGGCAAATAAATGAAGTTGTTTGGGAGACAGTGTGTTCCTCGAGTGTTGTGCCCATGCAAACCAGCAAGTTCTTGGTCCAGATTGTTTGCATTCCCTGATGAGAAGGACAAAGGCACTGCTCAGCCTTTGGGGAGAAAGAGCATTTATCGTCATCATCTGTACTAGCTCTTCACCTTTACTAGGCTAATCAAAAGGTGCATAATATATCATTGTGTGACCATATCTCCTCCTACAAGCCCACATGAGCCCTGAGATCATCAACAGAGGCCCTTCTCTTGGTCCCACCATCGTCAAAAGTGCGATTGGTGGGAATGAGAGAGAGGACCTTTTCGGTGGTGGCCCTGTGGCTTTGGAACTCCCTTCCTAGAGAGGTGTGATTGGCCCACTCCTTGCTGGCCTTTCGCTCACAGATTAAAAACTTATTGTGGAAGCCTTTTCTGATGACTTAGAGTAGGCAACAACCAGATGAAGGTAAAGGTTTCTCCTTGACATTAAGTCTAGTCGAATCCAACTCTAGGGGGTGGTTCTCATCTCCATTTCTAAGCAGAAGAGTCGGCATTGTCCATAGACACCTCCTAGGTCATGTGGCCGACATGACTGCATGGAGTGGCATTACTTTCCCGCCAAGGTGATACCTATTGATGTACTCACATTTGCATGTTTTCAAACTGCTAGGTTGGCAGAAGCTGGCGCTAAAGCGGGAGTTCATCCGCTCTCTGACACGACAAATAAATCCGCTCTCCAGATTCGAACTGCCAACCTTTCAGTCAGCAAGTTTAGCAGCTCAGTAGTTTAACCCACTTTGCAGATACTGGTAATATGCTTTTCTGAATGTTATTTGGACTTGGTAATGCTGTTATATAGCCTAATGAAGATGAAGTTCCTAGGATTTTAGTACAACTGTTTTTATGGATAATGCCACTAGCCTGAGGCTCAGGGAATTTTAGTGGTATATGTTGTAAGTTTGTTATTTATGGTTGATATAGTGGCAGTTTGTTTATCTGGTTTGATTGAATTTGTATGAATTTGTATGTTATGTAACGTCTGTTGCTTCTAACTACTGTACGCCGCTTTGAGTCCCACCCACAGGGAAAAAGCAGGATATAAATAAATAAATAAATAATAAAATATTTAAATTTCAACAGGTAAACCTGTGTCCTCAGCATGTTTACCAAATTCCACTACCATCCCTTGTTCAAGGAAGAAACTTGTTGCATTCACTGAAAACAGTAAGCCAGGATTTCAGGATCATGGTTTATCCTAAGCTGGTGTGTGCTGATTCATGCAGACAGTGTGAGTCCTGTTTATCTACATCTGACAAAACATGCTTTCCCCAGACATTTTCTGGGTCCTCTAGCATGATTTTATGCTTTCTTTGGACCAGAAGTCCTTCAATAGCGTTTGCTATGGTCTGCCATTTCACATATCCACTCGAAGTCCAGGAGTATAAGTTTTGCAAATACGAGAGTCTTACGTATATAGTGGCTTGAAATCAGACCTTGACAATGAGAGGACAGTTTATGCTGGATCTTTAAGTCAGGCCTGGGTGAAACATTTCTCCTTCCTTTGCAACAACGGGCCTCAACAAAGTGCATGTACTCCTACCATCTCCTTCCCCAACATCGTCCTTTGGAGTTTTCCCCAGGTTCTGCTTTCTGTTCCCTTGGCTTCTCTCCCCAGTCTGAGGTCTGTCAGAATATTGCCAGGGAAGTTGGAGAGTATCATGTCTGAATTCATTTCTCCTTTTCTGGTGCATTCGGTTGCCGAGCTTGGGAAGGTCCCCTCTTTTGACTGCAACCCCTAATATTCCCAGCTAATATGGAGGATTCTGGGCACTGCAATGAATGTAGATGCACCCTGAATCACTGCTGGGTTACATGTAAGTAATGAAACATGAAACTGGGAAATTTAGCCACAAAGGTCCAGAACCCCCTTTCCCCCAGTGTGTAACTTTCACTGCAGTTAGTCCAGTTAGGTGTGGGGAGAAAGAAATCTCTGTTAGGGAACTACCACTGCACCTGAGTCTCTGCTTTAAGTTCCTCTTCTTTCTCCCTCTTTCTCTTCCTCTTTCAGAGCAAAGCTCCTTGAAGCAGGCATTCAGCATGGAAGAGCAAGCGCCTCGAGAGCAACTTCCCCGGGACGGCCCTTCCCTCAGCACAGGGGATCGGCAGCTCTTTGGCTACGTGGGGATCGATGCCGTGCTGGACCAGATGCGGATAAAGACCATGAAAACAGGCTTTGAGTTCAACATCATGGTTGTAGGTGAGCGGCAAAGTCCGTAACTCTAAAACTCTGTTCCTTGGAGAAACCGAAGACCAAAAAATGTACATATTTGACCTGCATACCCTTAACTGTCTTGATTTTCAGTGGCTTTCAAAACGTTTCTGTTTCTGAGTTGCTGTGAGTTTTCGGGCTGTCTAGCCATGTTCCAGCAGCATTCTCTCCTAATGTTTTGCCTGCATCTGTGGCTAATGGCATCATCAGAGGTTCTGTTGGCAGTGAAGTAAGTGGAGTGTGTATACATATCTGTGGAATAATGTCCAGAGTAGAATAAAAAACCCTTGTCTGTTTAAAGCAAGTGTGAATGTTGCAATTAGCAAACTTGAATTAGCATTTGAGTAGCCATGAAGTTTGCAAAGTCAATCAGTGAGTGTATCTGCATGGAGGTAGCCTAGCCTCTGTTGCCTGGAGGCATCTTCTATTTGGGAGATGTTAACTGGTCCTTGATTGCTTGTTATCTGGAGTTCTCCTGTTTCTGAGCAGTGTTCATCATTTACTGTCTTGATTCTGTTGTTTTCTTAATACTGGTAACCAGATGCCCTCACTTATAGACTTTGTAAACATCCTGGCTACTCAAATGCTAATTCTAGCTTGCTGATTGTAACAGTTGCACTTTCTTAACAACAACAACAACAACAACAATAATATAATTATAGGAGATAGGCTGCCCTATCTCCTCACAGACATACAAACACACACACACACACTCCACTTGCTTCACTATCAACAGAATCTCTGAAGATGCCATTAGCCACAGATACAGGAAAAATGTCAGGAGAGAATGCTGCTGGAACATGACCATACAGCCTGAAAAACTCACAGCAGCCCAGTGATTCTGGCCTTGAAAGCCTTCCAGAGTACATCATCCCAGTTTCTCCTTCTTTTCCTCCTTTTGTGGCCACTGTACTCAATGTCCACCATGAAAATCCTTATGTTCAAAAGTTCTGTTTTCATTTTATTTTTTAGGGGTGAAGGAAATCCTTTCTCTTGGTATTGTTTTAAAACAATTCTGGTGGCTTCCTAGAATAGCAATTGCACCTTTCTGATCCTTTTCTGACTCTGAGGGAGGGTGGGATACACATAGCCAGAGAGGGGTCGTATGTTTTCCTTTCTTGCTCATTAAGAGAAATGTGCATTGCAGGACAACCGCAAAGTGTGTCCCACTTCATGTAATGGACATGACAAACTCTCTCAGATTTGGAGGAATCCGGTGCAGCTGTTGCCCTGGCGCCTTAAAATCCCCAAGAAACCTTCCTGCCGTGTTTGCCGTCTCTCTTTCTCTGCATGTAGTAACGGGTTGATTCGGGTAGCATTCACCCAAGCTGCCAGCTCTGCCACTGTGCCAACCCAAAGGGCACGGTTTGCTGGCCTCCAATGTACTCCCCCTGCAGTGGGCCGACTGGCACCCTGCTGCACCCACCAGTCTTTTGTGGGGGTTGAAGCTCTTGCTTCCCCCAGTCTGGGACTGAAGGGTAAACAGCCCTTCCCTTTCCTAGCAACCTTGTGCCCTTTCCCATCGCCGTCTCCCCTTCCTCCTCAATCCCTGTCTCCTCTGCCTCAGGTTGCAGACAAGGTCTTTGTATGGAGTCCTCCTCCAAAGCCACTCGCTGCATTTGGCAATAAATATCCCCAGATCAAAAGCCGGAGGCCCAAGTGGAGATGCCAAAAAGTAATCCCGAGTAAGAAGGATGGTCTTGTTTGGGGCCTGGGAGGAAAGTCGGGAGGATTTAAGGGATAACGTGCTTAAGAACCAAGCAAAGGCAGGAGCATGCCAGGAGCCTAGATCAGTCCACAGGGAGAGATTTCCAATTCTGGGGCAACCAGCAGAACAGGTGCAAAAGAAAATAGATGTTTCCTTTTCCCCAGGAGGATTTTAGGTACAAGATAGATGACTGATCACTTTATAGAGATGGACCTGGATGTGTCAGGGGCTGGAGGTCCTATTGGCAAATGAAAAGTTACATAGGACAGTATACCAATCAGTCACTTCATTTATATGTGGTCTTTTCCTGGAGAAGAGTGGGACTTGTGTATGGCATGCCTTTAGGTCAAGACATCTGCAAAATGATCTATTCAACTCCCAAGGAGAGGGAGAGGGACAAAGAATACATTTCCAATGAAACATACCCTTGGCTATGTTAGCCTGTGCCTTGATTCCTTCAGAGGGTCAAGAAATATGCAGATTCCAAGTTCTGAAGAACCCCAGCTTTTAGGGAAACAGTTATATTTTCTAATCCTCCTGATTGCAGATACAAACCTGACAGTGCATGTGTTAGGTCTGCTAAATGTCGAGCCAGAGTTTCCAGGGTAGCAATTTGACCACCAGCATGGAAAAGTTACTTTTAGTTTCTAAATCTTGCAGACAGCATGTGACCATAGCAGTCTCAGAGGAAGAAAATTCAAAATAGGGAAATTGGTACCTACTCTGTTGCTAAAAGCAGCAAAAGCAAATTAGATGAAGGTAGAAAGAAGCAATTTTGGAATGTTTTTGTTTACTGTACCATTGTATATAGTGCAACTTCAGCATCCATGGATTTTGGTATCCATGGAAAGGCAACCACACTGGATACCAAGAGCCCACTGTTCCCTTTCCAAAGGAATTACACTGTGTGACAAAATAAGAAAAAATATTCCGTTCCTGGTTTGAAAGTGTTATTTCCTGTTTAATTGTGTGGTCCTTAGTTTGACAGTAGTTGTTCTCCTCCAGAAACTTTGTTTTTGTGGCTGTCACAAACTTTGGTTGAATTGGTTGAGATTCGAGATAGTCATTGGAAAACTAGAGCAAAGATGTGCTTCAGGATGTCCCTCCTCCCAAAATAAAGTTTTTGCAGTTTAATAAACTTTTCCTGTGTTTTTATGATAGAACCAATTAGGAAATGACATTTATAACCCAGGAGCAGAAATTGTGTTACATAGTGTCATTTAACACAGAGATCCTTGGATGCAGAAGTGTGGAGCCAAAGTACTTTCCACTCAGTGAATCAAACAATAAGGAAGGTTGGTTAGAAATGGAACAATGTATCTAATGGATTTTCCCTTTTTTGTGAGGTGGGATGCAAAAGCTCCTGGATCCAGCAACCCACCCCAATGACTTTGAGCTACTCCTTGCGCCTTCATTCTGACCAAATGGAACAGTTACGATCAAAAGCAGACCTTGGGAAAGTTAACTTTTTTGGACTCCAAGGCCCAATCTTCTCTGTTGGCTGAGGGATTCGGGGAATTGTAGTCAAAAAGTTAAAAGACTATAATTGAAACCAGAAGCTGTCCACTGGCAAAGAAAAGGAAGTGCTTCATCGCCCTCCCCAGTGCCAGCATTGCCCTTTTCTTTGGTTGGGCAACGGGGTCAGTGAAAAGTCGGCCAAACACCCTTCCTCCAGCGCCTGCAGGGATTGTCAGCTTGCAAACTGGGAAAACTAAATCTTTTTTTTCCAAAAAGCTTCTCCAGCTGTAACTTCTCTGACCCTTTTCTGCACATCTGGTTTCAATCAATCTTGGGAATACACTCATACATACACATACACTTTTCCATGTGGGGAATGTTTTGAACTTAAAAGGGGTGTGTGTGTGTGTGTGGAGGGGTGGGATAGGAAAGCAGAGCTGCCTGTGTTAGGAAAAGGGAAAAAACACCCTCAAGCCAGATAAGCCGCTCTGGGGAAAAGTTGAGGTAAACAAGCAAGAGGGGAAGGGAGACCCAGAGGGCTTGGGGAGGGGGTGGTGGTGTCTATTTGCCATTTTAAAAAGAACAGCACTGTTTTGTTTTTTTAATTCAGGCATGCTTAAAAACCACTCTGGACAACAGAACAAACTAGGTCATAGTTTCCATGTGTCCTTCCTCTCCATGCAAACCTAACTGATTGCATTGAATCTCACTTGTAGGAATAAGGATTAGCTCAGGTTAGTGGGGATGTGCAAGCTACTGGATTCAGCTCCATGCTTCATCAGGCAGGTGGTTGAAAGTTTCTTTTCTGTTGTCTTTTGCTAGGAGTCTGTTTTTTAATTAATATTTTCCCCACAATACAATAATAATAATAATAATAATAATAATAATAATAATAATAATAATAATACAATAATAATACAATAATAATAGATCACACAGTCCTAAACACTTGGGAAGTGTTCGACTTGTAATTTTGTGATATGAAATCCAGCATATATGTCTCGTTTGCTGTGTCATACTGTGTTTTTGTATCAGAATATTAATAATAAGGAAACAAATAGCATAATACAAAATGGAAAAATTAAACTATAAACAGTAGAAACAAGTAGAAACATTAGTTAAAACACATTTAAAACACAGTGTTTCTGCTAAATTAAAAATAGATAAAAGTCAACATACCCGGGTTTCTATAGCACAAAAGACCTCATCCACATTAAGGGGGATATTATTCATCATTTTCAAAGATCTATGTAAATAACCATGTCTTTAACTCCTCCTTAAAGGTCATGTAGGTAGTTGCTTGTCTGCTTTCCCTGGAGAGGGTGTTCCAGAGCTGGGCGGCCACTATTGAGAAGGCCCTCTCCCTCGTCCCCACCAGCCTCACTTGTGATGGAGCTGGGATTGAGAGGAGGGCCTCCCCAGCCGATCTTAAAGCCCAAACAGGTTCATAAAGGGAGATGCGGTCGCATAAATATGAAGGACCGGAACCATATAGGGCTTTATAGGTAGGTAATAACCTACACTTTGAATTGGGCCTGGAAGCAAATAAGCAACCTATGAAGCTGCTTCAAGATGGGGGGTTGTGCGTTCTCTACAACCCACCCCAGTTAGTAGCCTGGCTGCAGATCTTTGAAATTATTGAACCTGCAGTAATCCATCCGAGAGGTAACTAAGGCATAGACCACCGTGGCCAGATCTGGTTTCTTGAGGTATGGTCGAAGTTGATGCACAAGCTTTAATTGTGCATAGGCCCTCCCGGCCACCGCTGACACCTGAGCTTCAAGCATCAGCGATGAGTCCAGGAGGACTCCTAGACTGCATTCGGAGGCTTCAGCTCGTCCAAAGATTTGCAGCCAGGCTGCTTACTGGAGCGTTGTACAGGGAGCAAACAACCCCCTTGTTATGGCATTTGCACTGGTTACCAGTTTGCTTCTGGGCACAATTCAGGGTGCTCTCCCTGAATGGGTCAGGTCAAACCTATCTGTCTGACTGCATCTCCCGATATGAGCCTGCTTGAGTCCTGCGATCAGCTGAAGAGGCCCTACTCTCAGTCCCACCCCCGTCTCAGCTGCGGTGGATGGAAATGAGAGAGAGGGACTTCTCGGTGGTGGCTTTTCAGCTCAGGATGTATTTATTATGGGTCATGCATTTTGAATTTGATGTTGTTTTTATGTTGAATGGCATCGAATTGTTGCTGACTGTTAGCCACTCTGAGTCTCTCAATGAGAGAGAGAGGGTGGGATATAAAACAAAATAAATAATAAAAAATCATCCTAGGATAGCTAGTGAATCAGTCAACCTGAAGTCCCATTGTATACAGAGGTGTCACGTATATGAAGGTATATGAATGTCACGTATATGAATTTTTGGAATATTTTCAAATTTTGGATGGTGGAATTTGTAAACACGGACACCATAGTTACAGAGGGCTGACTGCATATGCAAATATAATATTCCAAAATCTGAAAATGTCCAGACCCCAAAACACTTCTGGTCCCAAACATTTCAGATAAAGAATCCTCAGCCTGTACTGTTTTGCCTGCCTTCAAGAACCCCCCCCCCCGCACTGTAATATTGCTTCCCCCCCCATGACCATCCAGTCGCAGTCCTTCATTCCTTCCAAATTAATTTCAAGACTCCTTTGCCCTGCTCCTTAGCTCTGCAGCCCCAAGCAAATGTTGCTGTGACCCAGGCGAGGCCAAAGGTGAGGCAGTGTTAATGCCTTGGAGGAGAAAGATCTGAGAAGGACCTGAGGAGGCAGAGCAGAGACAAGGTTTCATTTGGGGCTAAAAAACCCCCACTGTTTAGGCTTGTCATGGCTGAGGAATCTTTGGGTTACTGTCAAACACACCTAGCTATAGCTTCTGTGATGAAAAGAAAAATAACTCTAGTTCGCTAACCCTAGTGACACCAATGACATCCTCTTTCTGCGGTTTTGCAACAGAGCCAGCTCACGCTCAGCTCTGCATCTTCCTAAGTAGCTCATAGATTTAGAAATCATGTCATTGTGCATTCATTTCTGACGGATTTCTGATTACCCAACATTGTGAAAGAGGAAATGTTCACAAAACAGAGGATACAGCTTTGCACGAAATCTAAATTTGCTTCCTGATAACCTATTAGTATTGGAAGAATCAGGGCTATAGTTTGAATAGGACTAGATATAATAATTCTCCATGGAAAGGAGAACTATGAACGAGATCTCTCTCTGGTTGCTTCTTGAATTGCTTCTTGGATTCCTGATGGGCTGGACTATGCGATCTCAACCAGTCAAAGATCCTATAAGAAGTGCAATGAAAATAATCTATTTTTTTCTTTAAAAAACTGATTGAAAGAAGTAACAGCAAAATGGGACATCAGGATGCCACAATCTTTGCAGTTTGAGATAGCTGAGCTTTCCAAGACTTTCCATAAATTGTGTTAATACTAATGCATTGTCAACAAAAAATGTGGATTACAACATTTATTCAAGTATATTGGGAGATAGATTTAAGGAGATATAGGAAACTTGGATACATGAAGACCAAACAGAATTTCTACTAGATAGACAAAGATTTTTTTTCCGTATCTACAGCGACTTGAGAAACTGCAATTCATTTGTGGTGTGAGAGAATTGGCCATCTGCAAGGATGTTGCCCAGATTTTTTGATGTTTTACCATCCTTGTGGGAGGCTTCTCTCATGTCCCCACATGAGAGCTGGAACTGACAAAGGGAGCTCATCTGCGCTCTCCCTGGATTTGAACCTCCGACAATATGAGAATAGTCCTAAACACTATGGAATATTTACAAAGACATAAAGAACGGCAAAGAGCGCTGATGTTTTTGGATGCAGAGAAGGCATTTGATAATCTTTCCTGGACTTTTATAGAGAAACTGCTATTAACGATCAAATGTGATGAAAATTTCAGAAATAGTATTAAGGCAATTTATTCAAAACGAACTGCAAAAATCGGGGCTGCAGTGGCACAATGGGTTGAACTGTTGAATCTGCTGACCTAAAGGTTTGAAGCCGTGGGTCGAGGTGAGCTCCCAATGTTAGCTCCTCCTGCTGTTAGCTCCTGCCAACCTAGCAGTTCAAAAATGTAAATGTGAGTAGATCAAATAGGTACTGCTGCGGCGGGAAGGTAATACAGGCACCCATGCTGCCATAATGGCAACACGACCAAGAGGTGTCTACAGACAACAGGTTCCTCACCTTGGAAATGGAAAATCACCTCCCTATGCCAGAGTTAAGCACCGCCTCCAGAAAGCCAGAGATGAAAGGGGAAGCCTTTACCTTTGTTCTGTGTATTTATTTATCATTGTTATTCCACTGTATTAAAGGCATAAAATGTTTGGACATGAGAGAATCCTCCCACAGTATGGTAACAGATCCGGGTGACCCCTTGGCAACGTCTCTGCAGACGGCCAATTCTCTCACACCAGAAGTGACTTGCAGTTTTCCAAGTTGCTTCTGACACGATAAAAAAAATGTTTGCCTATCTGTGTATGTTGTAATCCTCTCTGAGTCCCCTTGGGAAGATAGGGCAGAATATGAATAAAGTGTTATTATTATTACTATTAAAATTACAAATAAACAAAGCTCTTACATGCACAAAAAGAAATTAAAAAAAGAGTAAGATAAGGATGCCCCCTCTCACTGCTACATTTTATTCTATCAGTGGAAGTGCTTGCAAAACAGAGCAGAGCAAATATTAACCTGGAAGGTTTAACAATTTTTTTAAAAAAATGGAGAAAATTTGAGCATAGATATGATTAAAACAGATTTACACATGCAGCTAAAAACCACAAGTGCATCTACATTGTAGAATGAATGGAGTTTGACTCCACTGCCGTGGCTCAATGTTACTGAACAGTTTTGCAAGGCCTCTTGCTTTTTCTGCCCAAGAGTGCTGATGCCTCACCCAACTTGATCTCCCAGGATCTTATATCATTGAGTCATGGCAGTGAAAGTGGTATCAAACTGCATTAATTCTCCAGTGTAGATGCACCCATATTAGGCAATCTGGAAAGTAAGCCACATGGCTACCCTCACATAGGGACCAGCTGGTATTTTCACTGATTGGCATTGCCTGTCGTGGTTTGAGAGCTTCCTCTTATCTTCCTTTTCCTTCACATCCAGGACAGAGTGGTCTCGGCAAGTCAACCATGGTGAATACTCTTTTCAAGTCCAAGATCAGCAGGAAATCCACCTGCTCCGGGTACGAGGAGCGCATCCCCAAGACGGTGCACTTGCTCTCCGTCACGCATGGTAAGAACCACTCCTGCTTTCACCGTTATTTCTTTATTCCTAAATTACATTCCAATAACCTCATCGCTTGCTATTTTCCACCTCCCTATACTCCACCTTTCCTTTATTTATTATCTTGGGTTACCTTTGTATTGGTTTGAATGTGTAGGAAGTCCCTGGCTTTTTTGTAGTATCCTTACAACAAACTTGTAGGGTAGACTAGTCTAGAAAATGATTTGAGGAGCTCAAGATGTATCGGAGCCTTTTTACATCAGATGGTTAGAATATGATGAATCCCCTTGACTGCATCCTATGGAATTATTATTATTATTATTATTATTATTATTATTATTATTATTACCTCGCTTTATTGCTCCTGAAGGAGACTCAAAATGGCTACACATAAAAGCATTAGCATACAATTTATAATATCTAAATATGAAAATATTAAAGCAGAATTAAATATAAACTAATCACAGTTAAAATCCCAAGATACTTAATTGGAATCCCAAGATACATAATTTTATGAGGCTCTAGCTCAGTGTTTCTCAATCTGGGGGTCGGGACCTCGGGGGGGGGGGGTTGTGTGGGAGTGTCAGGGGGAGGGTCACCAAAGACCATCAGAAAACACAGTATTTTCTGTTGGTCATGGGGGTTCTGTGTGGGAAGTTTGGTTAAATTCTATCGTTGGTGAGGTTCAGAATGCTCTTTGATTGGAGGTGAATTATAAATCCCAGCAACTACAACTCCCAAAGGACAAAATCAATCCTCCCCAACCCCACCAGTATTCAGATTTGGGCATATCGGGTATTTGTGCAAAATTTGGTCCAGTAAATGAAAATGCATCCTGCACATCAGAAATGTACATTACGATTCATAACAGTAGCAAAATTACAGTTATGAAGTAGCAACTAAAATAATTTTATGGTTTGGGGAGCACCACAACATGAGGAACTGTATTAAGGGGTCCTGGCATTAGGAAGGTTGAGAACTACTACTAGCTAATGATCCTAAATGCCTATCTCTCTAAATTGCAAATCCCAGCATTCCTTCCTTTATTGCCAAAGGCAGGACTTTTCTGTACTATGCATTTACAGCACTTTTCCTGTAGTGAAATAAAGATCTGCAGTTTAGATAGGGCCGCTCAGCTCTTGTCACTCTCCACACTAAAGATGCACCCCGCTTTGGCCTGTTTACCAATTGGAGTCCTTTTATACCACTGCAATTCCACATTTAATTCCTTTGTAGTTCAATTCCCAACCACTACAAATCCCAGGGTTCCATCGGATGCAGCTGCGGCCATCCAAGTGGCATCACAGTGTGGTCATTGCACATTGGAAAATATGCTTTCCCCCACCAAAAAGGGGACTCAGCCATTCCTGGTCATGTCATCCTGACGTTGCCATTGAATGCAAATCTGCCCCCAGCCGTTGCTTGTAAGAAAGCCATGTCTGACCACATGAACTCTGGCAAACAATGGCTCTCTTGTGAGTCTCTGCCACTGGGCCACTGGAGCATCACCATGGCTACGTTTCAAAGAGGTTCAGACTAGTCATAATGCAAAGAATGGGCTATCTATGGCTCCCCCCCTCCAATTCTCGGCTTGATTTGGGCAATGTTTTGCACTCACATCCTGTGGGGTAAAGATGCCAATTGGGTTGCTGTAAATTTTTCAGGCTGTATGGCCATGTTCCAGCAGCATTCTCTCCTAACGTTTCACCTGCATCTGTGGCTGGCATCTTCAGAGGTTCTGCTGACAGTATTGCCTGTTAAAAGCAAGAGTTGATGTTGCAATTAGCCAGCTTGAATTAGCATTTGAGTAGCCATGAAGTTTGCAAAGTCAATCAGTGAAAGTATCTGCATAGAGGTAGCCTGGCTGTTTCTGCCTTGGGGCATCCTTTGTTTAGGTGTTAACTGGCCCTTGATTGCTTGTTGTCTGGAGTTCTCCTGTTTCTGAGCGATGTTCATTATTTACTGTCTTGATTCTGGTGGTTTTTTTAAATATTAGTAACCAGATACCCTCAATAATTGACTTTGCAAACTTTACTGGGGGAGGGGGGGATACCCAATTAAATAACACAATGTAACACATATTTTGTTTTTGAGTTATAAATGTCATTTTAAAATTGGTTCTACTATTTAAAAATGGGAAAAGTGTATTAAACTGCAAAAACTTTGTTTTTGTGGGACACCCTGCATCAAATTTTGCTCTAGTTTTTCAATGAATATCTCATTGATTCACAACCAAATCAACCTAGTTTGTGGCAGCCACAAAAATGAAGTTTCTGGAGTATAACAGCTACTTTCAAAGTAAGTACCACACAATGGAACAGGAAAGAACACTTTCAAACCAGGAACAGAAAAAAACAAACAAACAAATTTTGTTAGATAGTGTTATGGGTGGATTTCAGAGCCTCTCAACTAATGATCTTCCTTCTGTTCCTGGCAGTTGTTGAAGAGAAAGGGGTGAAGATGAAGTTGACGGTGACAGACACACCAGGATTTGGGGATCAAATTAACAATCAAAACTGGTAAGAGAGAGCCTTTGTTATTTATGCCTCCGGGAGAAAATGGAGCATTTGTTGTGTATTGCTGACTCTAGGCTTGGAAGGAACTCATTAAAAACAATGGCAAATCAGATTGTTCAGCTCTGCATTGGGATCCATATGGCTATCAGTCAAACCCTGAAAGAGAAAAGAACATCAGTCTCTAGAGCAGGCATGGGAAAACTTCAGCCCTCCAGGAGTTTTGGACTTCAACTCTCACAATTCCTAACAGTCTCAGGTCCCTTCCTTTTCCCCCTTAAGCGGCTGAGGGGGGAAAGGAAAGGGCCTGAGGCTATTAGGAATTGTGAGAATTGAATTATTATTATTATTATTATTATTATTATTATTATTATTATTATTATTATTATTTAGTTTGGTGGGGCATTGGAATCCTTTTCTTGTGGAGGCTAAAAACCTTGTAAAAACTAAACTTCCAAAAGGTCAGTGTTTTCAGACTGGGCTCAGGTCTGATTCACCATCTAGCCCAGGATGATTACACTCACAACTGGTTCAAGCTTAACTTTAAAAAAACCTCTTCTATCCGTCTTTCTTCATCCCTCTTATCTCATCTGGGTTTTGTCATGGCACCAAAAGACTTTGGAACATTGCCTTCTGTGAGCTGCATTCTTGCTCATATGTTTCTTGTTCCCCAAGTGCCCTGAGTATACACAGTGCTGGGCCTCTCCATGGAGCAAATTATCTTAAGAACTTGACTGTGGTCAAATATCACTGCCTATTTTCCAAGGCAAGGTGCAATTTGTTCCCATACAAAGTGCTTTGTGGGAGTCCCATACAATGCAAGGCTTTGCCCGTGTAGTAACCAGGATGTTGAATGTATGTATCACATATTACTGTCCTGCAGTTTTTACCATCGATCACGGGTACATATTATTAACCCACTACTGAGCAACCTACTCAGTAGATCAGCCCAATTCCATGTAAAGTTTTTACGAGGTGGCAATTTTCTCCACATGACCTTGGCTGCTGCCAAGTTTCTCTCTGAGGTAGCCAGGATAAGACAACTTCCTGTATTAGACTCAGGCTGAAACTCGCCTTGTATGTATTTGCAGCATCTTTACCTTTATTCATATGCATCATAGCATTGCACTCATCCTGCTTTTAAGTGGTCTTATCAATTTATGAATCTGTTGTGCACTTTTTACCTCTGAGCAAATTGGGTCTTTGGAACATAATAAAGATTGATTGAATGATTTAACTCCCAGAAATGGTGCTCAGCTGCATTCATTGTACAATCTAGATGCACCCCTAGGTAAAAGCCAGCTTCTAGTCCGGCAGCATCTGCTCTGATCTGCAGCAGTCTTTACTTGCCCCACTGAGAGCCCCGAGGATTGAACATGTGCTTAGCCAGCCATGCTTCCCTGGGTGCTTTAATCCTTTGTGCGCGCCCAGCTTGCCTGCTCCAAATTATCCCCCATCTGCTTCTGTCCTCGAAAGCTCCAGATGCATCCTTACCTCTCAGACTCTTGTTTAGCAGCACCTCTCTGGCGGCCTGGGTAGTTTAGAGGAATACCTTGGAGCAGGCATCCTCAAACTGCGGCCCTCCAGCTGTTTGGGCCTTCAACTCCCAGAAGCCCTAACGAGCTTGTTCAATTGTCAGGAATTCTGGGAGTTGAACAGAAAGTCAAGTGGGTGCACTGGTGCAAAAATCACTCCCGCTCAGAGCTACAGCTGTTGAGCTTTTACTACAGAGTTGTCATTCCATATGGAGTATCACAGCAGGAGACTGACTAATACAAAGGCTTTTTTGGGCATTTGGGACATCAGCTCCAAAAATTATAATCTATCATTCACTATGCCAGCTAGGGCTTCTTTGAGTATCAATCCAATATATCAAGTGGACGAAAGATTGGGGATGGGGCTGTGGTGGCACGGTGGGTTAAACAGCTAAGCTGCAGAACTTGCTGACTGGAAGGTCAGTGGTTCAAATCCATGGGATGGGGGTGAGCCCACAATTTTCTTGCAGTGCAGAGATCAAGAATGTTTTTTTTTAATTTCACAACTCTCTCAAAAGAATAACAAGAACAACAAATAGCATAGACAGTGACTGTCCTGCCTAAGGGATTGTGGGAGATATAGCACCCAAAGCGCTCCAAATTTTGATGCATCCATTTGCTGAATGACACTCTAAACAGGGAAGATGGTGGCGGTATCATAGCAATAAGACACTTAAGCATTCAAGGTGGCATTGTGTTCCATAATGAAGTATTATCTTGCAAAAGATGGACTGTCATGGCTCCACCTTGGCTGAACTTCAGGATGTGGGACCCCCGCTAAAGTGAAAAGCAGTAAATTAAAAATTGCTATTTCTTTTTATTCCGAGAGATCCGTCTCTTTAGGTGTACCTGGATCCTTCAGTGGGACTCGATGGTCAACATTAGCTGGAAGTTGACCACAGAATTATACTGGAGGACCTAGAGCAGGGGTCCTCAAACTATGGCCCGGGGGCCGGATACGGCCCTCCAAGGGCATTTATCCGGCCCTCAGGGTCAACCTAAGTCTGAAACTACTTGAAATCACACAACAACAACAAAAACAATAACAATCCTATCTCATCAGCCAAAAGCAGGACCACACTTCCCATTGAAATACTAATAAGTTTATATTTGTTAACATTATTCTTCATTGAAAGCACTGAGCTGCTAAGCTTGTTGACCAGAAGGTTGCAGGTTTGAATCCGGGGAGTGGTGTGAGCTTCCGCTGTCAGCCCCAGTTTCTGCCAACCTAGCAGTTCGAAAACATGCAAAATGTGAGTAGATCAATAGGTACCGCTCTGGCGGGAAGGTAATGGCGCTCCATGCAGTCATCAGCATATAAATGGAGATGAGCACCAGAGTCCCAGAGTCGGACATGACTGGACTTAATGTCAGGGGGAAACCTTTACCTTTACCTTATTTTTTAAAGTGTTTTTTGCACTAAATAAGATATCTGCAGTGTGTATAGGAATTCATTCATGTTTTTTTTCAAGTTATAATCCGGCCCTCCAACAGTTTGAGGGACTGTGACCTGGCCTTCTGTTTAAAAATTTGAGGACCCCTGACCTAGAGATTCCTTGCAAGATGTTCTCTGGCATGAATTTATGCTTAGTTTCTGGTGGAAGTTGGCCATAGAGTGACACTGGAGGGCCAAGAAAATCCTATAGATAACATTTTAGTTATACGATTATGTATGTGTGATTAATCAAACCTGCCATCATATTATTGATATCGAGCTAGAATTTGGAGGCTCCTGCCCAGGAGAGAGGAGCCCTTAGACCCACCAAAGAGAGTCCGAAACCCTTGGCAAGCGAAAGAGGAGAAAGGCCCAGAATTTTCCCTGGTTTTTCCCAAATAAATCTCACCAAGGTTGAAGAAAAACCATCGAGGTTTATTTAGTGATCCAGCTGAAAAGGATGCAGAGCTGCAATCATTCACCAGCAGAGCATAAAGAAATACATTTGATACAGTCATATTTATAGTAAATTCAAAGTTGCAGAGTTCAAACTTCCCGCCCCGGCCTCCATGCTGTCCTCCACTGTGATTGGGCAATGGGCAAACAGCTGGGAGGCGGCCTTCACGCTCCCTGCGCCTTCGGACCAATCAGGAAGCTCCAGCAGTCCATAGGATCCAATGGGGAAGCTCCTGCCGCCTAGCGGTGGCAGCAAATCAGGAGAGAGAAAGGCGGGATGATAGAACACAAAGGAATCTTATGAATGAATTCTTTAAAAAATGTCATGTGGCCTGCGAGACAAAGCGGGGAGTCTCAAGCAAGCCTGATCTATTGTGCTTTGATTGGAATGAATCAACATGTGTAAAGGAAAGTCTGGATTTTACCAGCCAGCAAACATGAGGACAATGAGGGCAAAACTGGGGTGAATGTTCCTTAGTGGGAAGTTAGTTAAATCAACCAGTGCAAAAGTGGGGGCTTTTCAAGGGTCCCCTGACCTCCAGGTAGAAAAATGATTAGGGGTCTGCCAGGGGGCAAACAGCATTGTTGGGCAATCCTCTGAGAACAAAGCCACCTGCCAGTTTATTTTTCGTGCAAAGGAAATTCTGGATTAAAGTTCTTTAGTGAATGCCTGGGCTCTGCAGTTTCCTGGGGGGATTTCTTCATGAGGAGAAGTGGGGAAAGGTCAAATGGGGGGGAGGGCTCTGCCACGAGGAAACCATGAAATACATAATACTGTCCACAGTTCATAAGGGTAGAAATTCATAAGGGTTTGTCCTTGTAGAGGAAGGGAAATGTTTGTGGGGAATGATAAAAGTATAAAATTCATAAGAGAAAGTCTCAGAGGTTCCACTGAGCCAGCTAAGCGAGACCCACCACATTGAGATCAACTCTGGTCCTTTGTCCTTGGAAAACTGTAACTCTTTCCAAGGGCTGGAGCCCAGGGACCAATCTGCTCCCTGAAAGCCTCCTGGGGTCCTTGCTGTTGTTAGTGTCTTGGCAAATTGACCAAGCCTTAACCCCTATTGTGCAGTCTGGTGCCCTTGCCCTTTACAGCACTATAAGTTACTATCCTTTATTGGGGGGGGGGGGGGGGGGGAACATGCTCGGCTTCATTATTTCTCTTGCGTGCAGCTGGGAGCCAATTGTTGAATTCATCAATGAACAGTACGAACGCTACTTAAGGGAGGAGATCCTCATCAACCGCAAACGGAAAATCCCCGACACCCGCGTGCACGCATGCGTGTATTTTGTGCCACCCACCGGGCACTGGTAAGTCTTTCTCACCCCATGTTGGGTTGCATTGTCTGCTTTATTATTTATTTATTTATTTATTTGATTGTTTATTTATGCTTGTGGACCAAATGGAGTGCCACTGCGATTTGCTGGAAACAGAGGTGTGGAAGGACCTTGGAAGTCATCTAGACCAGGGCTTCTTCAAGGTTTTCCATTCACAACCCCTTTCTGCCCATTTTTTTCACAATCCCAGGTATATGAAGTACAGGCAATCCCTAAGTTATGAACAAGTGAGGTTCTGTAGGTTTGTTTTTAAGTTGAATTTGTATGTAAGTTGGAACAGGCACATTTTTAAAGTCTAACCCCAGCCATATATTTATATAAATATAAGCTTTCGATTACATAAGTAAGAGTTGACACTCCTGTTGTGTTTGTTTTGCTGTCTGTGCCCCAGTTCAGAAGATTTCACCTTACTAAGTCTGGGCTTTAGCACAGCAGGTTAATCACCAGCTACAGTAAATTTTGCCAATCGAAAGGTTGACAAATTGAAGCCAAGGTCAGGGTGAGCTCCTGGCTTTTAGCCCAGCTTGTGCTTACCTAGCAGTTTGAAAACAAATGTGAGTAGAAAAATAGGTACCGCTTTAAAGCAGGAAGGGATTAAGGCATCCATAAGGAAATGCCAAAAAAAGGTGGCGACTTAATCAAGGAGGAAGTTACGAACAAAGCTCTTCAGCAGGAAATGGAGCGACAGCACCCCCCCCCCACCGCTGGAACCAAGCACAGCATCCTAGCCACCGAAGATGGGGCAGCCTTTATATACCTCTATCTATGTACAGTTTCTGTCTTGTCAATGTATAACAGCATTGAATGTTTGCCGTATATGTGTTCTGTGGTCCATTCTGAGATCCCTTCAGGGTGAGAAGGGTGGAATATAAATACTGTAAACAAATATTTTCTGTCCCTGTGAGAATTGGATTTTGAAAAATTTGGCTAGTTTTGGAAACAAGGTTTGGTGGCAAAGCTCCATTGGAGACCTCTTTTCCCCATGATAATAACTCTTTCAGGCATGGATTTCCCTTCCAAAAGGTAGATTTCTCTCACTTCCTGTTGTCTCAGCCCTGTTCTTAACTGTGAGTCATTTGTAATTGTGATGTTTGTAACTCGGGGACTGCCTGTAACAGCTGAAGCATTTTCTGCAGGGTGTTGCCAACAGATTTTTGTAGATGGGTTGCATTAAGAAACCTTTTGCTGTTGATAAACTTTTTCATGGCCCCAATATGGAGCCAAGGGGACCACATTTGGGGTTGGAACCCACAGTTTAAGAAGCAGTGACATAGGGTCCTTTCCACACATTTTCTGCCTTGATATAACCCAGAATATCAAGGCAGAAAATACCACAATATCTTTGAACTGGGTTATCTGAGTTCACACTGCCATATATTCCAGTTCAAAGCAAATAACGTAGGATTTTATTCAGCTGTGTGGAAGGGGCCTTAGTCCCACTCTGTACTCAGTGGGGCCATAAACATCTATATAAGTACCTCCTGCAAAGAGAGGATCCTATTTTGTAGGGCAAACTCTCTTTGAAACAGCTCTTGATCCAAATTGGGATGCAACTCATTAGTAAAAGTGACTACTGTATATACTATGAGCAACACTGTAGTAAAACAAAGTTTTGAAGTTCTGCATGGGGCAATTCTTTAGAGTCAACAGCCATCAATAGATCAATATAATTAGGCTATTCGCTCATTTCCTGACTTTACTCCAGGCAAACAAGGGCACCCAAGCACAGCTTTGGCTTATAGTTCCTAGCTGCCTCCTACTAGCATGGCCAGCAGGTGAGGTATGATGGGAGATCCCTTCCAAAAATACATTCTCTTTGCCCTGCTGCCAGAAAACGCTTGGGTTTGGCATGTGAGGGGATTCCATTCCTTCGGGGAAAGGTTCCCTGTTTACCTGCCCCGCGTCTATGAGGCAGTGCAGCCAACAGGTCTGATAGCGAAGACCACTGAGGCTGCTTTGATCAGCGAAGGGAAGGCAGGGGAGCGATTCGTGCCTCGCATACCTCAGTACCTGCCAGGAATCTCTGTCATTTTCAATTAAAACAAGCTATTCTCCGTCTTTAAAAAAAATGGGGAAAATGAACTGCCAGATTCCATCTCCCCACTCCGTGTGTTGTGTATGATAGGGTACGGTCTTGGCCTCACACTCTTTTTTTGACATCTCTGTGCAGCTGCTGCCCAGCTGCCCTTCTCTGCCCAGCCTCCAGTCAGGAGGAAGCAGTGCCCCAAAGGCTAGGAAATGGTTGCTGAGATCTGGTGGCATTCTCAAAGGGTGAAACTACTGTTATTTGGGTGGGGCAGAGGGTACTTCTCGATCAGTTGCTAAATCAGAACCACGAATTGAATGTGAGTCAACAATGTGATGCAGCAGCTAAAAGCCAATGGGATTTTGGGCTGCATCAACAGAAGTATAGTGTCTAGAGAACAAGGGAAGTCATGGTGCCTCCCTATTTTGCTTTGGTTAGACCTCACCTGGAATACTGTGTCCAGTTCTGGGCACCGCAATTCAAAAGAGATATCAACAAACTGGAAGGCGTCCAAAGGAGGCAAATAAAATGATCAAAGATCTGGAGACCATGAATCCTTGTGAGGAGCATTTCAAAGTTCTGGATCTGTTTAGACTGCAGAAGAGAAGGTTGATGGGAGACATGAGAGCCATGTATAAAAATGTGAAAGGATTTCATAAGAAAGAGGGAACAGGTTTGTTTTCTGATGCTCTGGAAACCAGGACTCAATGGGGCCATAGGTTCAAATGACAGAAAAAGAGATTCCACCCGAACATTAGGAAGAACTTCCTGACTGTAAGAGCTGTTCAGCAGTGGAACTCTCTGCCTTTGGAGGCTTTTAAGCAGACTCTGGATAGCCCTCTTTTGGAGGTGCTTTGATTGTGCTTTTCCTGCATGGCAGGGGGTCAGACTGGATGGCCCATGTGGTCTCTTCCAACTCTGTGTTTCTATTCTTTTTTCACACCTTAAAAATACATAATACAGATAGCCCTTCTGAGTTATAAGTTCATAAATGCCCAACTCAGACTAAAACTCTTAGGAATTGCAAGAGGAACTTTTACTGAATGGGCAAATGTATTTTACTGCTTTTGGGCAGGATGCTGGAATGACCATGTCTGCAGATGAATTTGAGTCTTCATTGGGGTGGGCAATTTATTCAAGTATGGGGTCTACATTCCTTTTCCTCCCAGAATCCAAAAAGTGGCATACTTGGGGTACTTTACCAGCATTGCTATCTCCCCTCTCCGTCTTGGGAAGCTACCTTGGCTTCATTCAGAGGCTAATAGTATCATAGCAGTGCTGGGAATCATGCATTTCCCCAAGGTTTTTTTGGCTTAGTGTCTCCGGAGGGCACAATTATCCAGTGAAAGAAAACATTCCCTTCTTCTAAAATGTGCTTCAACAAATCAACTTGTTTGCTTTAAGAAAAATGAAAGTGTGTGCGTGTACTTTAAATGCAAGATGACATTTGATCCCATTTGTTGGAAGACCCGGTCTCTCATCCAAGTACTAAATGGAGCTTAACCTGCTTAGCTTCCCAGAACAGATGGAATCTGGTGCCTTTCGGGAATGTACAAGCGATATATAGATATGGATATCACAAGGGATTTTTCTTTAAAAGTGTCACCTAGTGACAGAAAGTGGCATTGCCACCCTGAAGGAGAAACTTGGAGTGTCAAGATGAGGCTTTCAAACAGCTGTTGTTTCACCTCTGATAAGGCAGGGTCATTCTTTCTCTTCTGTGGAACCTGACCAAAATAGAATAATAATATTAGTGCAGCCATGGGGTGGGATAATCTCTGGAAAAGACAGTTTTAAAGAGGAAATCCGGGCTTGGAAAATAGTCCAATGCTCAAATCATGCCTTGCTGGCTCTGGTCTTATCTAGCACTATGCATTCTTACTAATATGCCTTGTGATCAAATTATCCAGTATCTATGATGTTCTAATAGGGATGCAGTGGTATTTTTCTGCTTCTGTGAAGGACAAACATTGTTTATGTGAATGAACGCTAATGCTTAATTTTGGCATAATGAACAACCAAAAAATAGGATCTCTTAACTCCAATCAGTCATTATAAGAATGATGTAACTGGTATTATGTCACAATACTATAACTACACCATTTATAGGAAACATCCCCTTTCTTCTTCTACACATAGTACACATATTAACTCATCTCAGGGTTCCTGTTCATCTCAAATGCACAACTGTGGCCTTCAAAATACTGTTGGAGTACAATTTCTATGAATCTGCTCTGTTGGCTATGTTGACAAGGGCTGATGGGAGCTAGAATCTGGCATAAACTGGAGGGCTATTAATGTCCAGTTATAATATGGAAGAACCAACATAATATTTCACTTGTTCTCGTCTCTTTGATATTATGTGCCTTCAAGCCTGCTCCAACTCCAATGGGTTTTCTTGCCAACATTTATTCAGGTTTCCCTTTGCCTTCCTTTTTGGGTTCAGAGAAAATGATTTGTCCAAGACCACCCTGTTGGTTTCCATAGTTGAATAAGAGCTGAACACTGGTCAACTAACCAACTGGAGTCTTAGTCTAGTACTCAAACCATTTTGATGTGGTGCCTCTTAGCAGGCACAATAGAGGTACAGCTAGGTGCCAAACATGCATAGCTGCAGATGTGGATGGTCGAGAGGGACAGCCTCATTCTCCCCTGTTCTCATTCTGGACTAAAGTAATTTGTAGCTGGTAGAAGACCATGGCAGCTCCTGCCACATTGACACCGCACATTATGTCCTCTTTTTCTTTCCTCAGGCTGCGTCCCTTGGACCTGGAATTCATGCGGCGGCTCAGCAAGATCACCAATGTGGTGCCGGTCATTGCCAGAGCAGACACCTTGACCCTGGAGGAGCGGGCAGAGTTCAAGCAGAGGGTAAGTACATGAGGAGGATGCCATGCAGTTTTCATGGAGGAAGGATGTCATATTAGATAGAAGTAGCACAGCATTTCTAGTCATGGAAAAAATACTGTTTGATAAACATGTGGTATATTGATAGCACCAAGGTAATGGCTGTAAACGTCATGATGCAATACCCAAGGGAGTGTGGTAATGGCTGGGTCATAACTATGTGAGGGTTTACTGCAAAGGGGTAGCATTAGTCAGTATCTCTTATTGATGACCCTAACAGGTGGTTGTATAAGCAGGATGAAAGAATCCACCTCTTTCTCTCCTGTGTGACTCAGTGTGAGTATCTGCCTATGTTGTATGTGACTGATTGTTTGCAAGAACAAAGAAAGCAGATCTGTGTATCTTGATTGTATATTTGTATATATTGCAATGTTGAAAATTAAAGCCTCCGGATATTTTGGATAAAACCTAAACCTGTGAGTTTACTCCAGTGTGTAGATAAAGATAAGTTCCTGGCAGTTGGACTCTGCTGATAGATGGGCTGAAGCATGTTTTTGCTGTGAAATGACTCTGCTGTATTTTGCTTGCTTCTGGGACACTTGCTATCCTGCTTGCAGGGGTTCAGCGAAGTCATCACTACTCCAACCAAAGACCATTCTGTCTTTCCCATCTCAGTCTATATAGGCAGTTCCCAAGTTATGAACAAGATAGATTCTGTATGTTTGCTCTTAAGTTGAATTTATATGTGTCAGAATAAGTACATTTGTTAAGTTAACTCCATATATATAGGGGGGGGGAGGGAGAGGGAGAGAGAGGATTTTGGATCGCATAGGGAAGGGTGGCTGTCTGTGCCCCTGTTGAGAAGATTTCACCTCACTATTTCTGTCCCTGTGATAATTGGATTTGGAAAAATTTGGCTTGCTTTGGAAACAAGGATTGGTGAGAAACCTTCAATTAAGATGCCTTTTCCTGTGATAATAATTCTTCCAGGAATTAATTTTCTTTCCAAAGGGTAGATTTCTCTTATTTCTGGGTGTCTCACCCCCATTCTTAACTATGTTTGTAACTCAGGGATTGCCTGTCCTTCTATTTTGGCAGATTCAGAAAGACTTGAAGGCCCATGGGATCCATGTCTACCCACAAGTAGACTTTGACGAGGACCCGGATGACAGGCTTCTGAATGACAAAATCCGGGTAGGTAGCAGCCAGCCCCATAGAAATCTGAATCGTAGGTAGGACTGAGCCCAAACTAGGAGATATTTTTCTTATTTTATTTAGAATTTCCAATACATTTGCAGCTGTAATTATATCACTGTTTCCTTTGTCAACATTTCATTGTTTGTGAAACACCAAACTCTGCTTTTATTCAAGATGTCAGCATGTTGCCAGATCTGGACTGTCGTGTTCATGTTTTGTTTTCATTCTGTGAGACTTGGTGGGCTTCCATAGCAGTAGGGAAATAAATCAGATTGAACTGTGAAGGTCCCACCCCAGACAATTATGGAGTATGTTACATGGAAAAAATACAGCTTGAAACACTCAGAAACAACAAATCTTTACAAATCTCTCAGAACATTTCTGGAGGCATCTATTTTGTTTCATAATGCTTCGGAGGAGTCCCATTACAATTAATAATTTGGAGATTTGTATTAACGGATTATAGTAATCTCCAAATTACAAAACGGACCTCCGAAGACATTGTGGCCCTCCAGAAAGAAGGTTAATAATATTTGGCTATCTCTGGAACCACCTTCTCTTCTTCTCTTACTCCAGGAGAAAATCCCTTTTGCTGTGGTTGGAGCAGACAAGGAGCACCAAGTGAATGGCAAGAAGGTGCTGGGCCGCAAAACCAAGTGGGGCATTATTGAAGGTAACTTATGTTCTAGTTTTGCAACTTGGTGTGGCCTGCCTTGCCCAGGTTTTTTTTTCTTACCTGAAGCAGAACAGCACATACTGGCCGCATTGCAAGCTATTGGGTATAGTAGCCAAAGTAAGCCAGGATACTTGGGCATGTGGTGTGAAAGTCTTGCAGGTGTCGTCTCCCATCCCTGGGAGTAAGCATAAAAGGCGCTTTCACATTACCTAATTACAATAAGACCCACTTATGTGCATGGGATACCTTCCTGGCCCCATCACAGACACAACCAATCTCTCTTCTGGTCCCAATCGAAATAATAATAATAATAATAATAATAATAACAACAACAACAACAACAACAACAACAACAACAACAACAACAACAATCCAGGAAAGGTGGCCCCAGTGGTAACTGGCACACTGGGTGAAGTGCCTAAAGACCTTGGCTTGCACTTAAAAACAATCAGCACTGACAGAATTACCATCTGTCAGCTGCAAAAGGCCATCCTACTTGGATCTGCACACATTATTCGCCAATACATCACACAGTCCTAGACAGCTGGGAAGTGTCTGACGTGTGATACAAAAGCCAGCATAGTGATCTTGTTTGCAATGTCCTAAAGTGTATCTAATAATGATGATGATGATGATGATGAACATCGAGAAAACCAAAGTGCTGTTCCAGCAGTCACCAGCCATCCCCTCGCCAATGCCAGAGATACAGCTTAATGGTGTAGCATTAGAAAATGTTGACCATTTCCGCTACCTTGGGAACCACCTCTCCACCAAAGTTAACATCGACGCCGAAATACAACACCGCCTGAGCTCTGCAAGTGCAGCATTTTCCCAAATGAAGCAGAGAGTGTTTGAGGACCGGGACATCCGTAGGGATACCAAGGTGCTTGTCTATAAAGCTATTGTCCTCCCAACCCTGCTATATGCCTGTGAGACGTGGACTGTCTACAGACGTCACATGCAACTCCTGGAACGATTCCATCAGCGCTGCCTCCGGAAAATCCTGCAAATCTCTTGGGAAGACAAGGGGACAAACGTCAGCGTGCTGGAAGAAGCAAAGACCACCAGCATTGAAGCGATGGTCCTCTGCCATCAACTCTGCTGGGCCGGCCACGTTGTCCGGATGCCTGACCACCGTCTCCCAAAGCAGTTGCTCTACTCCGAACTTAAGAACAGAAAATGGAATGTTGGTGGACAGGAAAAGAGATTTAAAGATGGGCTCAAAGCCAACCTTAAAAACTCTGGCATAGACACTGAGAACTGGGAAGCCTTGAGCGCTCCAGCTGGAGGTCAGCTGTGACCAGCAGTGCTGCAGAATTTGAAGAGGCACGAATGGAGGGCTAAAGAGAGAAGCGTGCCAAGAGGAAGGCGCGTCAAGCCAACCCCGACCGGGACCGCCTTCCACCTGGAAACCAATGCCCACACTGCGGAAGAAGATGCAGAGCAAGAATAGGGCTCCACAGCCACATGCGGACCCACAAGGAAACCCATAATGGAAGACCATCTTACTCGTCCAACGAGGGATCGCCTAAGTAAGTAAGGAAGGAAGGAAGGAAGGAAGTAAGATGATGATGATGTTTGGAGGATGTAGGAATTTGCTAGATCCAGGCTAAAAAATATTATTATGTTTATACCCTGCTTTATTTCTCCCGAAGGAGACTCAAAGCAGCTAAAAATGCTGAATATTCTTTCAAAGCTGCCTATCCCAGGATTCCATCAGATGGAACCATATCAGTTTTCAGTGAAATCAAAGGGTTCCTTCTTCTCCACTCTCTCTGCTTTGCTGTTTCTCTCCTCTTGGTTCCTCAAAGCCTACCAGTTCTAAATGTCGCTTGTGAAAATAACGTCTTTTTTTCTTTCCGATTCCACACACTTTTTCTGCAGCCTGCATTGCAAGGCCTTTAGAAGCAGGACAGGTATTGCAAACAGCCCTGGGTGTTCCCTTCCTCTCTTGCATGTCCCTTCCTGGCATTTGCAGAACACTGCCGTTGGTCCCTCAAGCTCAATATTGTATATACCAGGCATGGGCAAACTTGGACCCTCCAGATGTTTTGGACTTCAACTCCCACAATTCCTATCAGCCTCAGGCTCCTTCCTTTTTGCTTAAGCAGCTGAGGGGGAAAAGGAAAGGGCCCGAGGCTGTTAGGAATGCCCATACAGCATGAAAAACTCACAGCAACCCAGTGATTCAGGCCATGAATGCCTTTGAGAATATATCTCCCATTGGTTTCTTTCAAGTACAACATATGGGTCAGCATTTAAGAATCTGCTGCCCCCTCGTGTTCAGCAGGTTTCATGCAGAGTTTTTATTCTCAATCAAAACTATGTTCCGGAGGTTGCTTTCTTCAAAGGGTTGCCAAAGATCCCCAAATTAACACAAATAGCAGGACTAAATGTTCATAAATGGGTGTGGGAGCCACTCATGCTCTTGAATAGCTGCAAAAGGGTGTTGGAATCAAAGAATCCACAGTGGAGAATGTGCTTGAACCTCTGCCCTCCTGCTGTTTCCTCTCTGCAATCTCAACTCCTCCTGGTACTTTCTTCCCTCTGCAAAGATACACCCGGAATGTCAGTTGGAGAAGGAAGGGATTGAATGCCATCCCTCTCCCAGCCACTTTCCTCCCGCAGATTGCACCTGGCTCCCTTCCACTTGGTAAATGCACAGTGCTCCTCCACCTTTTCTCCCTTGTTGCTCCCAGTGCTTAGAATGGCTTCTTGGCCCGCCTGCATGAGGCCAATATTCTGACTCCCCTAATATCACTCCTTTTCCATGTAATCCTCGTCAAGTACCCCTTGTCCCCACATCCTGCTGTAACTTGGTCTGAAATGATGGGATGTTTCAAGTTGAATTTTTTGTCACTCGCGTCAAACACAGAACTTTAAAGTTGCCCCAATCATCCCCAATCAGAGCTCTTCCATGTTTCTCCCAGCACTTCTCCCATCCTTTTGTTTCTTTCCTTTAAAAACATATGTTGAAAACTAAGCGAATAAGTTGCGCAGGATCTCTGGACTGGTAGCATTAGAATACATTAGTTGATATGTTGCATTTGAATGTCGCTTCCTCACAGCACATTCAAATGTGAGTAGGTCAAGTTACCACTCCGGCAGGAATGTAACAGTGCTCCATGCAGTCATGCTGGCCACATGAGCTTGGAGATGTCTACAGACAACACTGGCTCTTCGGCTTACAAATGGAGATGAGCACCAACCCTCAGAGTCAAACACGATTGGACTTAATGTCAGGGGAACACCTTTCCCTACCTTCCTCACAGCACAGAACCAAAGGAAGCTTTTGTCTGGACGCACCCATGTACGCAGCATCATTTGTAGTTTATTACTGACTCCCATTCCCTCCCCCCAGGTTGTAGATGATATGCCATTTGGGACAGCAGTCTTTCCAAGCACACCGATGTCTTAACTCCCAGGACAGGATGTCCTGGTTTATTATTTACTAGCTTGGGTACCCAGCATTGCCAGGGTTATTTGAAAAAACCAATTTTTAAATTGTACAAAATGCATAAGGTTGTGGATGAACTACAGCTCACATCATGTCAGGTTAACCCCGAGAAACTCCAGCAGAACAAAGTTTGTTATGTTGGGCAAGTTTGCTCTGGATGCATCATTGGTGGGGTTCAGTGTGCTCTCTGGCTGCAGGGTAAACTACAACTCCCACTATGGTGAGTCAGTCCTCTCAAACCCCTCCAGTATGTTGAGTTCATCATGGGAGTTCTGTGACAAGTTTGGTCCAGGTCCATCATTGGTGGAGGTCACAGTTTTTCTGGAGGTGGCTGAACTACAACTCCCCCAAATCAAGATGAATTTTCCCCAAAGACCTCCAGTATTTTATGCTGGTCATAGGGGCTCTGAGTGCCAAGTTAGTTCCATCTTTGGTGGAGTTCAGAGTGCTCTTTGATTGTAGGTGAACTATACATCCCAGTACCTACAACTCCGATAAATCATGGTGAATTCTCCCCAAACCTCTCTAGTATGTTCAGTTGTTGATTAATTCCTCTGTTTGCTGTGTGCCATAGGAAAGAATAAGAAAGGGTTATGGGAGAGGCAGTGGGCGGGGTCATGCAAATTCCACACCAATGGAGAGAGTAAGAAATACTGGGATGTCTGTGGTAGAGGAAACACATAAAATCTAGGATGAAATTGTCCCCGTATGTAAGCCCTCACTTGGGTGGTGGGCAGTATGGTGTTTGTGGAGGACATTGACACAGCTTTTGTACATGTCCATGGCACTCACTATAACCAATGCCTTTGGTGTCTCCTGAGCAGTGGGAGCTATAGCTCTTTGTGGAGGCAGGAGTTTGTGTAATTGGACATCCCAGCCACACACACATAGATATTTTCACTTTCATTATGTATATAGATTTTTATACCACTTTTCTCCCAATGTGGTGTCCAAGGCAGCTTCTCTTTCACAGGTCTCAGCATCTCTTTCAAGCCTCACGCTTTTCTGCACTTTGCATTTGCTTGCTACTTGTGTTGGGTATGAGACACAAGACTAAAGAGAGTGGGCATGATGTGCTGAGGGGTCTGGGAATTGTCATTCAGAAAAGCAACTCTTTCAAGTTACTGGACACCGAGCCTTCTGTCACAACCAGTCTGTTCAGGGTTCTCCATTGGATCACCCAACACTTGTAGCCTCTGCTGATGCAATGGGTTAAACCCTTTTGCTGGTAGGACTGCTGGCCAAAAGGTTGGCAGTTCGAAACTGGGGAGCAGGGTGAGCTCCCGTCTGTCAGCTCCAGCTTCCCATACGGGGACATGAGAGAAGCCTCCCACAGGATGGTAAAACATCCAGGCGTCCCATTGGCAACGTCCTTGCAAACTTCCAATTCTCTCACACCAGAAGTGACTTCAGTTTCTCAAGTTGCTCCTGACATGAAAAAATACCCAAACACTTTTTCTCTTGGTGAGCAAAGCAGGTAATTCTGCTAATTTGTGTATTTCTTGTCTTTCAGTGGAAAACCCTGCCCACTGCGAGTTTCCTTTGCTGCGGGATCTCTTAATCAGGTGAGTGGTGGGCTCAAAAAAAGCATGTTCTTTGGGTGTGTGCATCTTTGTTTAGGAAAGCAATGTTTTGAGCTTCATCTGTTCTTTGCGGGTGGCCAGTGCCATTTAGGTAAAGTACTAGTAACTGAGTTCCAGTTTACCCAAGAATTCATTGCAACTCTTTTATGCCTGTCCACAAGCAACAACAAGCGACTAAGAAACTCTTGGCATCAGATTCCTTTCTTGGAATGTTGCTGGATGGAGCAGAAGGCAAACCGACCCTGACTTTATTTCTTATTTGAGGAATTTTGACATCATTATACTGCAGGAAACAGTTGTTTTAGAGCTCTCCCAACCCAAGCCACCTGAATCTGAAAACCTGGCTGTTCCAACGTGCCTTTTCAGATTAGGAACCCCACTACCAAACCCCAGAAGCACTTTAGTAGAGCCAAGATCACTGCTCATCGCACACTGCACTTGATTTTAATCCCATATCCCTCCGACACTTCAGCACTTTTAATCCTGTACCCCTACTCCGGCCGGCTCAGTTTTTAATAATTGTCCTGTTGTATTGCTATTGTTTATTGTTTTCTGCTTTAACTGTTTTATTTGCTATGTACTGTATTGTTGTATTGTGTTGGGCTCCGGCCTGCTGTAAGCCGCATCGAATCCCTTGGGAGATGCTAGCGGGGTACAAATAAAGTAATAATAATAATAATAATAATAATAATAATAATAAAGCCACCCCCCATAGTTCAAGCAATTAACATCCACTTGGGGAAAGCTCTGTGTTTATATCCCCACAGGCTTAACTCAAAGCATGCTGTTAAGTAGGACCCAGGGATGGGAGGCCCCATGCTTCCAGATGGGGACCTCTTGTTCCAGGTTTGCATTCACCTCTGCTCAGGATATCCTGGTATAATCTTGAAGAATCTGGAGCTGTTTGATATAGTGCATAATGACTGGTTTGTGCCTTATAGTTTTGCACATTGAACATCTAAACATCTTGGAAAGCTGAAAATGTTAAAAAGCCAGCTGGGAATGCGGCATTAAGGAAGCGGAGGTTATGCAGCTTATGCATCTTCATAACGTTTTCTCACTTTAGCCCTACGTGTCAGTGAAAATAATCACTAACATCATAAACTTTATTTATATTCCAACAACTTTATTCCAAACAGATGAAATGGTACAAAAAGTTCTTCCCCATTGCTGTGACTATGAGGAACATGAGCCTGACTAAGAAATAGTGACTGGATCATGATTGTTGAGTGCAAATTTAAAACCGAATCTCTCTAGTTCTGGTTTCATAGTCTAAGTAATATCACAACACATTGGTTCCAGTGTTAGATATCTGGACAATCATGTGCAGGGCAGACTGAGGACATTTAAGTATTGTACAGTCAGAGAGGTGCACTCTTTGTATTCTTGCAGTGTCTTCAAGTAGGATGTCATTGTTGGTGGTGGTCTCAGATTGGGTTAGTCATTGAAAGCATGGGTTTTTGCCATGTTACTCCATTCTCTTCTCCTTTCCCAGGTCTCACCTGCAGGACCTCAAAGACATCACCCACAATGTGCATTATGAGCAGTATCGTGTGCGGCGTCTCAATGAAAGCAACCAGGCTTCCAAGGGAGGCGAGCGCCTGGCCCTGAGTTCCGTCAACGGAGAGCCAGAGAGCCACCTTTGAGCAGCAGGGATGGCCTCTCCTGCCCCATGCATCCCACCCCCAGTCTCACTGACCCCGTTCCCCAATGGCTTCTACAGACTGGTGTCTCCTTCCCATTTCCTCTTCTGCAATCAGCCAGAACAGGTTTTCTGAAAGATGTCCCCCTCCCTTGCTCCCTGTCTCTTTTGATCAGAAAGGGGATCTCTGACTTTGAAATCCCAGCGTCTTGTGTTGGGCACCAACACATCCATCTGCTGCCTTACAGTTTCACATCTCAGGGGCAGGACAGCCATCTCCTGGACTTTGCTCACCATGATCTTGTCTTCTCAGCCAAGGAAACCTCCTTCCTGCCTAAATGGGTTGTGCTCTTTATATGGACTCCAGAGCTAAGACCTTGAGGTCATCACTTAACCCACTCCTGAGCCCCATTTTGCCCATGCCTACCTTTCTTTCATATTCTCCCAATTTTTCTAATGTTGTACCATTCTTCTGTGATGCTTCTTGGCTCGGGAGATGGAGGCTCAGAACACTGAAGGATTGACATCGCATGAAAAGGTGAGCCCATCAACTTTGACAGCAAAGAATGGCGCACCCATTCCTGTTCTGGACTCCTGCAGGCTGGGATCGTAGCCTGCAAAAACAGTCTTATGGCAAAACATCCTAGCATTCTTATGCTATTTGGACCAGGATTGATTGCTGTTTGAAAGGATTCGTGGTGGGAAGGAGTGGTTTGAATACTTCTGCAAGATCATCAGGCAAACCAGAAGAGCCAGAATTGGCCCAGACCATTATAATAGATGCTTTCTTGCCTTGTACTGGGTTCCTTTTACTTATTTTTTTGTCTCAGAAGGCAAAGAGGCTTGGGATTTCTGAGAAGACAGCCGATCCCCTGCTGATGCCAGAACAGTGTGAGAGAGCTCACCACCATCTCCTGGAAGCCAGCCTCATCCATCCGATTGCATTTTATATTCCTGGGCAAAGAGCACCCAGGCAGGTTGTGAATCTCCTGTTTACACATTAAAGAGAAACTCTGCAGAGTGTTGTGTGATTTTTAGATCTTCTTGAAGGGAAAGTTTCCCCTTTGTTGCCTCTTGGGAGTAATGGGGTGGGCAAGAAACTCCTGGCCCTTCAGCATCTTGCAAAACATATACACAGAGACAATGGTTAATGTGAAAGTGATCTAGGTGATAACATGCCGAACATAAGTCAACAGTGTGATGTGATAGCTAAAAAAGCCAATGTGATCAAGAAAAGTCATAGCCCCATTTTGCTTTGGGCAGAATTCAGCTGGAATAATCCTTTGTCTAGTTCTGGGCTAAGCAATTCAAGAAAGATATTGACAAACTAGAATGTGACCCAAGAAGGGCAAACAAAGATATGAAAGCTGAACCCTGTGTGGAGCATCATCATATTTCAATATGTGAAAGGATGTCATACTGAAGAGGAGGCAAACATGTTTGCTGCTGCTCCAGAGATAAAGGCTTGTCCAGACTATAGAATTAATGTAGTTTAACACAGCTGCCGTAGCTCAATGTTATGGGATCCTGGGATTTGTAGTTTGGTGTGGCACAGACAGAGAAGGCTAAAGACCTGTTGAAACTACAACTCTTGTGATTCTCTGTAATATTGATCCATGGCAGTTAGAAGGATGTCAAAGTGTATTAATCCTACCGTAAATGCACCTGTAGATGGGGAGCAATGGATTAAAACTGGAGGAAAAAAGATTTCACCAAAACATTAGGAAGAACGTCCTGGTGATGAGAGCTGTTTGACAGTAGAATACGTTGCCTGGGAGTCTGGTATATCAGCCAGCTTTGTATACACAGAAATGTCTTTACTTAAACCCTACAGACCATTTTTTCAGGGTAAACAATATATAGGGGGGAAAGGGCTGAAGGAGAGGGACACAACAGCCAGAGCTGTATTCCTTGTAAACTCTGCAACAATTAATTAGAAGCAGATGTGTTTTCCCAGTTCAGGGTTATAGTAAGGCACTCATTTCAAGATTCTGATTGTGAGTGAAAAGAAAAGTGGATTTGAACAAGGGTCACTTCCCTTGCAACCTACCCACTCCCAAATGTGAAAACATATGCAACATGCAAGAGATCATCTTTGCAAAGTAGCTGTAACTTTTAGTTATTTCTCTCATTACAAAAGGTGGGCTCACTAAAATGAAGAATGATCCCACCTTGTTTGAGTGCTGTACAAGACATTTCTGCCTTGTGTTCTGCTGAGGATGTGGAAGCAGAGAGGAAGCTGACAAGAAGACATGGTTTTTGATGGCAAACCAGAATTTTCAAACACTCTTGACATGCTCTTAAATATCTAAATTCAATCACAGTAGGCTCTCCACTTTTTCAGGGGCTAGGACAGGTATTGGCAAACTTCATCGCTCCCAGGTGTTTTGGACTTCAACTCTCATAATTCCAAATAGCCTCAGGGGGCCTAAGGCTGTTAGGAAGTGTGGGAGTTGATCCAAAACACCTGGGTGGGGGGCGTGAAGTTTGCCCATTGGTAGCCCTTTTGGTACTATTGTGGGAGAGTGGTCCCTGGTCAAAAAAAGGTTGGGAACCACTGGGTTAGGGAAAGGAATTGTTTTTGAAACTGTTTTTCACAGGACAATGAAGAGTGGCAACATCATGCAATAAAGTGCAAATGGAGGAACTATTATCCTGCTGCTCTTACAATGTGATAAATGAGACCAAGGACTCGGCAGCCTAAACAGACAAAGGAAAATGTTTTATGTCCTGGGAGATGCAGCGCAATGATGTAATATTTGTGAATGATGATGTCAGTATCCATTGCAGAAACAGGAACATTCATTTGGTTTGGGTGACTAGGGTTGATAGGAATTAGTAGCCTGGCATTTGATGTCCTACCACCCTTGATTTAAAGCAACTAGCCTGTCTGCTGTATTTCCAAACCAACCGACACACTTCCTCAAGCAAAAATAAGTGGGGCGTGAAAAAGTATGTTTTCCTTTAATCTCGAGAGCTGTTGTTTTTTAAGTATATTGCTGATTAAAATAAATAAATACTGTAGTTGTGAAGATGTGAATAGGAAAGTATCAAAGATTTTCCGTGGCTCTACTGCACTTTGTTTTAAATAATTAAGGCTGGGTTTTAAAAAAATGTGGTCTCAACAAGCCACACCAAAACGTAAAATAAACTAGTTTCTTTGTTCTGGTATACCTGGGCTTGGTGGTTAGACGTTGCTTTGTTTGCTCAGCAAACAAAAGAGGCTTTGAGTACAACCAGGCCTTTTCAGAAGCAAAGTGTTTCTGCCTCATTTGTGGTACCTTCGAACTGATCACCATTGAGGAGGCAGCCTTGCTGTGTGTTTTCCCCACCTGAATTCACAGATCCCCAAGTTCAACTGCTTTCTGTGACTCTTACAAAGCTGGAAGAAAATGAATGGAGCAGAGCACACACTGATTACACTATGTAACACCATTTTTGTCCCCGGATTATAAGACTCATTTCTTAATTAATTCTACATAAAAACATGGAAAAGCGTTATTAAACTGCAAAAACTTGGCTCTTGAAGGTCATCCTGCAACACATTTTGTTCTAGTTTTCAATGAATCTCAACCAATTCAGCCTAGTTTGTGGCAGGCACAAAAATAAATTTTCTGGAGTAGAACAACTATTTTCAAAGGAAGGGCCACACAATTAAACAGGAAATAACACTTTCAAACCATGAACAGATCCCCCCCCCCCCCAAATTGTGTTACATAGTGTTGTTACAGTCAGCATAGTGCAAATACAGCAGCTGTTCATATTTGCTACCAGGACAGCTTCAACTTTCATATTCATATACAGAGTATTGCTAGCCCTTCTGGGATCTTACAAATTCAGTCCTGGTTCCTGCCACCCTCATGATACTGAATTTTGGTCATAGTGTTAGTACAGGCCACAAATCTCCCCCAAAAAACACCATGGGCTACATATGGCCCACAGGTTGTGAGTTGCTGACTGCTACTCTGGAGCAACTGCATGGCCAATCTCATACTTGCCTTTCCCCATTTCAGGACCTCTTCCACTATTTAATAGGGCTGTGCAAAGCTTTAGGGGCCAGTTTAGTAATTTGGAGATTTGTAGTGATTTGTTAATACAAATCCCTGAATCACCAATCAGAACGGGATCCCTCTGAACCATTAAGAAGCAAAACAGAAACCTCCGAAACGTTTCGGAGAGATTAGTAAAGATGTGTTGCTTTGGAGCATTTCAAGCTGGGTTTTTCCCCAGTGTAACATACTCCGTAATGGTCTGAGGTGGGAGGGGGCGAGGGGGCTGATGTGATTGACAATGGCAGCTGCATGCTGATTTTTTCCTTGTCAGACAATCACACAGCTTTTTGCAAAGCTGGTCTCCCTTCAGCCTATGTTTCTTTGTGGAGTTAGCAGGAGAAACAAAAAGACTTTTAAAAGTTCCTAGAAATCAGTAGATGAATGAATCTTTCTGAAATTTTGCAGGATTTATGCCCTGCTTACATTGTCTCATTGTGCAGAAAAGGGGCTACCTCTTGTAGTTTTTAAATATGTGTGTGTGTGTGTGCGTAAAAACATTTTTTAAAAATCCTAAAAATCATTGGATGACTAAAATGTTCTGAAACTTGGCAGGCTTAACATCGTAAATATTGCCTACAAGTTTAGTTTTGATAGCTATAAAAAAGACAGAGAAACAAGCCTTGAAATTTTCCCCATTGTCGCTAATGGAACAAATCTTAACAAAACAATTACGAAGCTTCAGAGACTTGGATTACGAAACAAAACAGGATCCCTCCAAATCTTTATGAAATGAAGCGGAGGCCAACTGAATCTCCAAAATGAATTACTAATCAGATCTCAGTGGCTTCATACACCTCTAGTAAAGGTAAAGGTTTTCCCCTGACATTAAGTCCAGTCGTGTCCAATTCTGGGGTGTGGTGCTCATCTCCATTTCTAAGCCAAAGAGCCAGCGTTGTGCGTAGACACCTCCAAGGTCATGTGGCCAGCATGACTGCATGGAGCGCTGTTACCTTTCCGCCAGAGCAGTACCTATTGATCTACTCACATTTGCATGTTTTCAAGCTGCTAGGTTGGCAGAAGCTGGGGCTAACAATGGGAGCTCACACCACTCCCCGGATTCAAACTTGCGACCTTTTGTTCAGCAAGTTCAGCAGCTCAGCGCTTTAACCCACTGTGCCACTGGCACACCTGTACTATTTAATAAAAGTGTTGACTTTGGCATGTGGGTTGTTTCTTTGTTGCTAGGGTGGGGAAGATAAGGATAGGATATGCTCCTCTAGCTGGTTTCATGTCAAAGGAGAAGGGAAATATGGTCTCCCTCCCTCCCTACACCTATCACTCAATCATTATTCATTTCACCTGCTTTGCTACTTTGTTACATGTAGCTACAGTGGCACCTGTCCAGCCAGCCATGGCAGGATGGCCGGGGGCAGGGTTACTTTTCAATCCTGTCCCTTGTTAATCATCAACTTTCCTCTCACCTCCCAAACGGATCCGTTGCCAAGGGCCGTATTAAAAAAAAAACCACAAGAACTTCAATATTCAAATACACCCATGCATTCCAACACACCCCTGCTCATTGCTGACTATTTGGTGTTCAATCTTTCCCTGGCAGGGCACCTCCCTATGCAAGCATCTTCCAGAAGTCAAACTCCTCCCTTAAGAGAAGACCTGCCAAGACAGAGAGAGCCACGCAGACCCATATATGGCTCCCCTGCTTCTCACCTTCCCTTTACATCAACACTTCCACTTCCTTCCTTGGACTCCCAGGTCCCTCCCCCAGCAAAGAAGGAAAGAAGGCAGGCTAATCTCTTTTACTCTAACTGGGCGTTTCTCTTCCAGCAACTGTTTGCGCTGTTTCTGACACACACCAAAGGAAGAGCCTCATAGCCACACTCCAGTTCCCTGCTCCGCATCCCACCAACCTTCATATTTCTTCGCCACAACTCCACACCTGTGTTGGGTCCGAGGTGCCACCATGCCAACACTGGAGCCTAACGTCCGCTCCCTGATCTCTCCACTGGGCATCGTCCGCTTCCTGGAGATCCTGTTGTCCTGCACGGCCTTCAGCCTTGCGGCCGCTGACCACAGCTACTATGGCTCCTACGGCGCCTGGTCCATGTTCACCTGGTGCTTCTGCTTCAGCATCTCTGTCTTGATCGTGGTTGTGGAGGTGGCAGGCTTGACAGAGTCCTTGCGAATCTCCTGGCAGGACTTCACCTCCGCTTTCTCCATGCTAGCCGCTTTAATGATCTTCACCACCTCCATCATCTACCCATCGACTTTCATCCCAGGCTGCTCCAAATGCAGCTACAGGGCTGCAGCGACCGCCATGTCCTGCTTTTGCTTCGTCGCCTATGCCATTGAAGTGGGATTGACTCGAGCCAAAGAGGGGGAGATCAGCGGCTTCCTTGCCACTGTCCCTGGCCTCCTGAAGGTCTTTGAGGCCTATGTGGCATGTCTCATCTTCTCCTTGGTAGCCAACAAAACTGACTACAATTACTTTGCGGGCCTGCAGTGGTGCCTGGCTATCTACTGCATCTGCTTCATCGTCACCTTGGTCATCATTATCCTCACTGTCGGACGCTGCCTTGCCTCCCTGCCTTTCCCTTTGGAGAAAGTCCTGGTGGGCTACAATGTCTTGGCTGTCCTCTTATATATTACGGCTGCCGTTGTATGGCCTCTATATAGCTTCAGAAACTATTCAAGGCCATCTTCATGTAACAATCATGCTTGCGACAAGTGGAACAACCGGCTAGGTGTGACCTTCCTCACTTATTTCAACCTCATCGCCTACATTGTGGACCTGGTCTACTCCTCCAAAATGGTTTTCATCACCGCTCCAGCTTAGGCTTCCTCACCCGAGAAGAACTGAACCTCCTTAGAATAAAAGTTATGACTGAGTACAAAGACAGCAACCAACATCTTGCATCTGGCGATGAGCTGGTTTTTGAGTTATTGTCATTGCTTTTATTTGTTGTTTTTTTCCTTTGGGGAATATTTCATCCATTGTTCTTTAGTTTAAGATAGTACTTTGTTGCCAGAGCCTTTCTTCCTCAAAGCACTGAACCTTTCAATTCTTCTGGCTTCCGTGAAATATAGGCACCTCATAGAAATGACACTGTAAGTTGATGTTTCTAATTTGCATGTCCTCCTATTGTCTCTGTTTGGTAGGGAGAGTCCCAAGTCATTCTCTGCTGTCTCACCTTTTTATGGGCTGTCTTCTCTCTCCTCCCCCCACTTCCGTCCTTTCTCCTTGGCTAATTTCAATAGCTGCAAAAACAGTTCTCTCACTGTTTTTGCAGCTATTGAATTGAGAAAAACGAGAAAAGGGTGAAAACCTATCCTTCCCAGTTATATCTGGCAAAAGCAAACTCCTAGCTTGTGTTTCCTCCTCCTTAATAACCTTTGATCACATTCAGATGCTTAATTTTAATCTGAAATGTTAGCAACAGTGATTTGGGCCAAGAAAGAAAAAGATTCTTGAACACACAAGTTGCTTGAAATAAGAATGGCAGCTCTTCAGAGAGAAAGAAGTGAGAGGCAATTCAAAATGGGGAAAGTGAGTTTCAGGATGAGAAGTGGGACAACAGAGTAAAATCCAATTACAGTTGCACTTGGGACCTCAGCAGGTAAAACATATTGTAACCTTTGCTCTCAGGTGGGGATGCAGATAAGCATTTTCCGCCTACTTTTGCCTGATAAATTTGCACTTGTTGCAGAGTAGAACCAGTGTGTGTGTTTTTTCAACTGCATTCCCAGTAACCACCAAGCAGCTGGATAACTAGGCATTCTGGCTGGGGATGCTGGGTCTGAGTAAAAAAAAACCCAACAAACTTCTGAGGTAGTTTTCTCTAGGTAGAATTCTCTTTGCGGTTTTGTAGGACCATACAGTGACAGCTTAAACCGAGACCAGGGGCGGCTCAACCCATTACGCAAAGTAAGCATTTGCAGTATAGTTGATTTTGCCCAGGGGCGCTCTTGAGGCGCTCTTGGGGGAAAATAGACCTTGACATATGTGAGTTGTAGTTACTGGGATGTATAGTTCACCTACAATCAAAGAGCATTCTGAACTCCACCAATGATGGAATTGAACCAAATATGGCACACAGAACTCCCATGACAAACAGAAAATATATATCAGTGATTGGTTGGGGGGGGGGGGGCAAAATAACTGTTTGCTTACCGTTGAAAATTACCTAGGGCCACCTCTGACCGAGACCGCTGTACTTTGCCCATATCATGAGAAGGGAGAGGCCTCATAGAAAGAGAGAATGATGTTTGGTAAAGCAGAGGGTAGTAAGAAAAGAGGAAGAGCCCATTCCAAATGGAGAGACTCAATCAAAGGGCCCTTCCACACAGCCCTATATCCCAGAATATCAAGGCAGAAAACCCCACATTATCTGAGTGTGCACTCAGATAACCCAGTTCAAAGCAGATATTGTGGGATTTTCTGCCTTGATCTTTTGGGATATAGGGCTGTGTGGAAGGGCCCAGAGAAGCCACAATCCTGAGTTTGCAGCACCTGAGGATAGGTTGACTTGGAGGTCTCTCCAAGCTGAAGTCAAGTTCAAGTTCACTTTATTAGTCAATGACCAGTTCAAGAGAAGAGGGACATGGTACCATACAAGCATAACATTGTTAAGGGTTCAGAGATTCAAAACTTTAAAATGAGCGTATCATTGTTAGAACACTAAGATAATTAACTTGAGAATATAAGCTAGGAGCCATATACAGGATTATATTAAAACCCAACACAATTTATGGAATTAAAGGGAAGGGAATCTAAAGGGAGGGAAAAGGGGAGATGTAAAATTATCCACAGTGTCCTGGGTGTTTGTACAGCCATGGTGCAATGAGACAGGATCGAATATGCCTATAGAACAGGCACTGAAGAAGCACATGTTCTGTTCTCTTTCTGTCCTGAGTGACAGGGGCACAGTCTCTCCAAGTATGGTGTCTTCCGGTAACGGCCTTCCAACATGGCAGATGGGAGGGCATGGCAATGTGTCAGAGTGAAGACCCCTCCAGTGGCTGGAACCTCCAGCATGGTTAGATATTTCATGGGGTAGGCACAAAACCTACTGACTCCATTGATGATAAAGAATGGGGCACTGGCTAAGTCTATTGGTGCTCAATGTTTGTTATTGGTCGTTGCCAATACTGGTTAGCAGTCCTGGAGAGAAGCCCAGGGTGGAAATTTTGACTGCTATTGCTTATTCCCATCTGGACTGAAAGTCATCCAACATAGTAAATGGTGCAAGGCCAAGGGAAGATAGGGATAGTCAAAGCCAGTGGTTCTCAACCTGATGTTTTGGCCTTCAACTCCCAGAAACTCTAACAGTTGGTGAACTGGCTGGGATTTCTGGGAGTTGTAGGTCAAAACACCTGGGGACCCACAGGTTGAGATCCACTGGTCTAAGCCAATAGACCACCCACAACCTGGCCTCAATTAACAGGAAGCCCATCTCCAGATAAAGGGTGGCATTGGAGACGCACCTTCGTACCTGGAGCTGAAGTCAACTTGAAGGCAGATAACAATTGCAACAGTGACATGCCACCACTGCCCAAGGAATCCTGAATTTCTTTGGACTCCAATTTGATCACTGGTGATGTTCCGCTAAGGAATAAGAGAGTTAGCCCTGGATCCCCATGTAATAAAAACAGTGCTTTTTAAAATTAACTCACAAGGCATGTACTGTGGATGTTTTGAGAAAGTGTGGGGTCGAACGCAAGCTATGCGCAGTGAAAGATGGGGTTTGGGCAGGATGACCAAAGTGGCACTCCATCATTTCCCATACAATGCATTATTTTCTCCTTTGGCCCCAATCTGCAGAAATGGCAACCTCCACAAAGTGGTGAAGGTTGACTTATTCAACAAAATATCGAACAGATAAAGTTAGCAATGAAGGGGAATGACCAAACACTTCCCAATAAGGAACAAACCCTAACAGATACCAATTTACTCTCCAAAAGTGTGTTATATTGTTCCTACTAGTGATGAATCCTCTGTCAACCCACTTTTTCACCTCCTTTAAAAATGTCCTGGCTTCTCTTTTCTTCCCATGTTCCTCCTTTGTCTTCAATAGCCGCAAACTGAATGCAAAGGACAAAAGTATTAACTCAATGAGGAGGAGGAGGGGAAGGAACAAAATCTTGTCCTTCCCAGTAAATTCCATCAAGAGCAAACAGCTCCAATCTCTCCTAGTTTGTCATTGAGTCTGACATTCAAGTGGGGGTTTCCTTAACACAAAGCAGTCTTTATTTAAAGGCCGGTTTCTGGTTTGAAAATAACCAGAAAAGCAGATAATAATCTAAGCATCTGATAGTTCTCTCTATGATGGTGTGATATATTTACATTTATAGCCTTTACTTTGTTTCTGAGCATGCCTTTGTATGTATAAAATGCAGACATCGAAACAAACAGTTTTTGTGCAAATCTCTTTTTGGTGAAGCATTTCCTCTTTTTCAGCAATGTATTAGAAGCCCTTCAATTTGGTTTTGTTTGGGCTTTTTTTTTTTTGGTGGAGGATAAAGGTTAGTATTAGGTTTTCCAAGATCAACTCAAGCCCTGAGGTTTGTGAGCTAGGATTAACTACTCACCGCAGCTTGTCATTTAGGCAGACATACAGAAAATGTATATTCCTATTTGGAAAGTAAGAGGGAAATCATAAAAAGGTGAAATGAAGGGATTATTCCTTCTCACTTACTATCACATAATACTTAACACATCCCTTCTGCTTCATGTTGGGTGCCATATACAGAGCAGAGTGGAGAGTAAGTACTGTCGCTGAAATGACTGGAAAGGAAAGAGGAAACTAACATAATAAACACATCGAGCCCACCCTGGTTTGTCTTTGCTTATTGTTGCAAGAAAGCAATTAATCCCTGCAAACTGGTGCTCTATTAGCTGGCTGGAGATTTGCATACAGCCTTTTCCTCTCTCCTGAAACCAGTCAAACTTTGTGTCTGTTTGAATAAAAAGTACTCTCAAACCCATCCTGGATATAATAAATCCAACCAATCTGGAGTATGGATTAGAAATGAGCCATGGAAACTAGAGATCTGGGGCCAAGCCTTGGGATCTGGCAACCGTCACTAGTTGATGAGGGCCAAAACTATTATTACTCGTATGATGCATTCAGCTCTTCACTTTGCTTGGTTTAATGGGCATAGGACTCCCATAAAAGTGGAAAACCACGAATTAAAGCACATCCGAAGACCTATCTCCTCTAGCAAGCCACCCAGTCAGTTCTTATCATGAATGTTAAACTCGTGCCTTGTGTTCACTGTATTGTAATCTTTGTTCTGTGTATTTTAAATATATGTATTTTGTAGAAATACATCTTAATATCTGTATTTTCCATAATGATGAAATGTTTTTATCTATATTGTAACTCACCTCGAGCTACAAGGAGAGGTGGACAAGAAATAAAATGATGATTATTATTTTACTGACACAAAAGCACAGTATGGCACAGCAAATGAGTTCTATATGTTGGATTTTGTATCAACAAATTCAAGTCGAACACTTCCCAATGTGCGCAGATCCAAGTAAGGTGGCCTTTTACAGTTGACAGATCATGATTTTGTCGATGTTTATTGTTTCCAAATTCCGGCTGAGATCTTTTGGCACGGCACCCAGTGTGCCGATTACCACTGGGACCACCTGTACTGGTTTATGCCAGAGCCTTTGCAGTTTGATTTTTAGATCTTGATAGCGGCTGAGTTTTTCCTGTTGTTTTTCCTCAATGCGGCTGTCACCCAGTATGGCGACATCAATAATCCAGACTTTTTTCTTTTCCACAATCATGATGTCTGGTGTATTGTGTTCCAAAACTTTGCGGTTTGGATTTGAAAGTCTGGATTTGAAAGTCCCACAGTATTTTTGCATGTTCATTTTCCACGACCTTTGTGGGTTTATGATCCCACCAATTCTTTACTGCTGGAAGGTGGTACTTGTGACATAAGTTCCAGTGAATCATCTGGGCCACAGAGTTGTGCCTTTGTTTGTAGTCTGGCTGTGCAATTTTCTTGCAACAGCTTAGGATATGGTCCATGGTTTCATCAGCTTCCTTGCACAATCTGCATTTTGGGTCATCCGCTGATTTTTCGATCCTGGCCTTAATTGCATTTGTTCTGATGGCTTGCTCCTGGGCTGCAAGAATCAGATCTTCTCTCCCCTTCTTCAGGGTTCCATTTGTGAGCCATAATCAGGTCTCCTCCCTGTCAACTTTTCCTGCAGTTTTTATTATTATTTTATTTTATTCTATTATTATTATTATTATTATTATTATTATTATTCACTATTTTTTTAACTTGAGAGGCAAACTGTAGGAATTTCACCTGAAGTTCATCATAGCTTCACCTGAAGTTCACCATTGGAGGACCTAGAAATTGTTAGAGAAGTGTTCTCACTCGTTATTTCTAGTCCCCATGGGGAGAAAGGCATGGTATAAATAAAGATAATAATAATAATAATAATAATAATAATAATAATATCTAGGTCCTCCACGGCAACTTCTGGTGGAAGTGGACACAGAGCCACATTTCAGGATCTAGACAGAACATATAATTATAATTATTTTATTCCTCAAATTCACAAATACCTGAATCTACAAAGGCAAAACCAACAAATGTGTGGGGCTGACTATATACCAGTCATGGACCCCATTGATTATAAAGACGTTAAGGAGAACAATTTGCACACAATCTGCCTTTATTTCCAA